CACATCCCACTACAAATGGTCACAAGCAAAAGTTATGCAAATTCCTGCACATAAATCCATATGAATTTGAAGCAAAAATTATGGTTAAATGTTAGTAATTTTTTTTACTATGCAATCAAATCCTTTCGAAATTATGCATCAAACTGTTAAACTTAACCAAAAAAACAATATTAACCCAAAATAGGATTTCACTTGAAACTTAAAAAGACCACATTTGAATTAAGAATCCAATTCTAGAAATTGGAGAAGGCTTTGAATCTTGCTTCACATTACCTTAATTTCTAGCTAGTTAAGAGTATAATCCTAAAACAAAGAAACAAAAATAAAAGATCAATGAAATCACAAAAGATGTAAAGAGTTACCTAGTTGCAACCCTTCAAATAGATGAACTTATAAAAATCCCTATACACAAACAGATTTTAGACCCGTGTCTAAAAGTACAATAAAAAATGGACATAAGTTTATGCTTATTTTATTTTGGTAAAATATATCAAGTCCATATCTAAATAAAATCCATCTCTCACAAAGCCCTAGCTGCTACCTAATTACTCTCAACATCTCATAGCAGCTCACCCCTCCCTAGGCTAAGGCATCACAACACAGGCCACTCTAGTCCTATTAGCAATACCTAGCCTACTCTAGCATGCAAACACATCACATTAATAATAATTATCACATAATATAAAGGTATTTTGGGAATTCACCGTTCGGGCGCTGGCTGATCGTACACACGTTTCTTCCTGGAAAATCTTTTACTCTTAGAAAATTTTGGTTTTATTTTGAAATATCTCTTCCATTCCTCAGTTTGAGTTCAAATACCCCCGTAGGTGTACCCGAATCCCTCAAACCAAGGCTCTGATACCAATTTGTAACGCCGAAAATTTCAAACAAAATTTTCAATTTTTATAAAACATAATTCCATCGATATTCATAAAAACAACCATTTTAATTATCCAACAAAACAGTACAAAATCCCAAGATCATAATATCAAGCTCCGAACGTGTGTGTATACGGATCAAGCCGGCGCCTTCCCACGGTCGTCACTAGTACCTGAAACAAATAACATCAACACTGTAAGCACAAGGCTTAGTGAGTTCCCCAAAATACCACATATAACACATATTAGCCACTCTAGGCTATAACTCTATGGGTCCGTGCACCCAAACTCTGTGAACCCTCAGGTTCTAACTCTGATAAACATGCACCACATAAATCACATAGAAATCATGCAGTACAACACACAACATACAAAGCATACAAATACTCTATCACATAACCCTGGTTACCTACTCAAGGTAAAGTATAGTGAGAAGACTCACCTCGCGTATCTCGGTACCTCACGAATCCTGGAAATCCCTCGTGCTCGATCCTCCGAGCTCTAATCCTCCTATAACATTATATGCTTCTAATTAACACTTTATATCTCTAAGGTTGACTATCAATAAGGAGTCAACACTGGTCAACTCTGGTCAACGGTCAACGGTCAACTCTGACCGGACTCGGCGAGTACCAAGGCGACTCGGCGAGTCTGGGCGTATACACCAATTTCCCTGGAATCCTCCCTTGACACGTCGAGCATTCACTCAACTCGACGAGTTCCACCTGGCATGAGTTGTGGGGCCACCACGACTCAACTCGCCGAGTCTCAAAACAACTCGGCGAGTCCAGTTTGACTCAATCCACCGGTCCATTCTGACTCCCCCTTGACTCACTGAGTCCACCCTCCCCAACTCGGCGAGGCCACTCACTGTGTGGTCGGGCAACATTCATGCTACTCGCCGAGTCTGTTCTTCGGACTCGGCGAGTCCGTGCCATGCACTGACTCAATCTTGCTCTAAAGGTCAGATCCAGTTCATTAATCCATAGATCCAGTCCCTCCAAGCTCATTTAGCACGTAAAGTTACAATCTTGATGCACATACAACCTCTATATGACCATATATGATGTTTTTGACTCATTTACTACAACACAAGGTCATGGACTCCATTGTCATACATAAAGCTTGATGGGTGAGGCTCTCTGGACCTCTATGGGTCCAGATCCATAACCTCAACTCAAGGAGGGAACCAATGGGCACCAAATCATCCCATAAATGACCATCATGAGCCCTAAATTGCATAATGCATCACCTAACAGAAAATAGTCCGAGATCATACCTCTAGAGTGATGATCTAAGCTCCAAATCCACGAAATAGCAACCTCCTTTGCTTCCCCTTGCCTAGAGTCTCCTTCTTCTTGCTAAATAACACACACAAGGTCAAGAAATGCTCCTTTCTCTTCACAAATCGCCCAAGAACACAAGGGTCTCTCACTGAGGGTTGGGTGAGCACAAATGACGGCCATAAGGCCCTTTAAATAGGCCTCAAACCCGGAAATTTAGGGTTTCACTACACAGCGCAGACTCGCCGAGTCCATATCCTGGACTCGCCGAGTCCAGGCGCGCTCCATTGCCCAAATCCGCGTCCCTACTCGGCGAGTCTAAGCTCCAACTCGCCGAGTCCCCCCTCACAATACCACAAAATTAAATTTACAATATACCTGGTAAAAATCCGGATGTTACACACATAAGCTGAAACAAAATAAAGATAAGGTTTATCGTGTTCTATTCAAAAGAAGCTTTAATAGCCAAAACATAGTATTGCGCAATGAACAACTCTAATCTAAAGCTTTGTAAACTAAAAATTGGACCCTCAAATCCCAAGATCAGATGTATAGAAATGAACAACAACCGGTTCTTGAAAGGATACTTAAAAAAAAAAAACCAATGACGTGTTCAATCTTTAATAGAATAAGAAACTAAGCATATACACAAACATTTTTGAACAAATACACAGTTGGAGAAATGAAAGAAAGGGAAAATGAAGATCTTTTTCGTCATCAAGAGAAAGAGAAAGACCAATGATGCGATTTTGTTTGGTGGTGCGCACTGCGTAATAATGGAGCACTGGTAGTGACAATGGATGGTAATGAGCCGGTGACGATAGAGCATGAAGCATGCATAGTTGATGATGACAAAGCAGAGCATGTAAAGAGGGATGTGAAGTGGTGGTCGACGATTGAAGTGAATGCGAGAAAGGTGGGCCCTATAATGGAGAAAGATTATTGTTGATGGATGACATCCAGGGTTTCAGATTTTGAAGAATGTTTTCACCAAGGAGAGATTTTGACGACAATGAAGGAAACATTAGCTAGGTATTTAGTGTCAACCGTGAGATAAAAGGGTCGAGAAGGGAAGTTAACTGATTCAATTGGCTAAGGTGATGGAATACAATCTTATCTGAAAATTCAAAATCTGCAATTATAACTTTTGCAAATGTTGACCAAGATTCAGTATTTCTTAAGGCATAAAGTGATTGTAAATATTGCATTAAAGATTTGTACGACTTAATTTTCATGATTTGATCAAAGATGCTTTATAATATATATATATATATATATATATATATATATATATATATATATATATATATATATATATATATGAGATTTAAATTGGTTTTGCTATAATGTTGTAGTTGATCTTAACTTAGTTTCTTGATGGTTGTAATGATGGTGGATGGTTGAGAGGGGTGGTGAAGTAACGATGGAAGGTGGTGTTTGTAAATAGATGTGGATGGTGCATTGCTAGGAGGTGGGCGGTGTTGGCTAGAGTAGATAATGTTGGCAGAAGAAAACAAATGAGATATAATTTAATGGTAAATCGTGTATAAAAAAAGTTGAACGATAAATCGTGTACAAAAGACAACATTAACGAGTAATACCCAATTAAAATGATCTTTCTTGAACAAATTGGATGAGTTTAAAGCTAAATCATGTATAAAAAGTAAGAATGTGACTAAATATTTACAAAAATGATAGTTTCATTACACTACAATGTCTTATTCATATTATTAGTAAAAATATATAAAACTATAAAAACATATGTAAAAAAATGATATTTTCCTATTTTCATTATTATTACAAATTTATAAAACTATAAAAATATATGTAAAAAACATAAATTAAATATCCTGCTACTTATTTTTCTTACTTATCTTCCTATCATTTTTAGATGACAAGTGTAATAAAAATTTATTAATTTTATTAAACATGACTAGTGTCATAATCTTAAATGTGTATAAGGATGACATGATAAAAAATAAGAGAATATTTGATTTATGATAAAAAAAAAACATTGACATGATAACAAGTGGTCTTGGACCAAACATTTTAAATAAGTGTATAATTGTATCGAGTCGAGTGTAATTGAATACTACTAAGCTTGAAACTTGACTCGACTAAAGCACTCGAGCTAGAAACTTAACCCTAACCTTAATTTTCAAGCCCTGTCATAAACTTGATAAAACAACTTACCACTTTTGAGCTTGACTCGATTAATTATTAAAATAGAATCAAACAGAATTAAATTTCAATATAAATCTGATTACATTTCCATTAGATTTGGCTCAATTATACATAAAAGGTAAAAGTATAAATATAACTAAACTCGATTAAACTTGCAAATTTCACTTACTGAATATTTCAATAATCGAGGTCGACTCTATAATATACTTAAATAGCTCGACCTCAGTCTTCAGTAAATTTGAACCGAGACGATTTAAAGTATTTTTCAAATTGGTATTAAGTATATCATAAGCGATTAGATTACATCCCCACGTTTAGAACGAATCTCAAAACAAAAAGTTATAGTTTTTAATCAAATCATTAGGTATTGCATATACATTGATGAAGGATTAAATAAATAAGTCAATAAGCAAATAAAACTCCAAAAATGCATTGTGGTATGTACATACGTTGTTGACTATGATATGGTCAAAGTCCTATTATCCAATATCCACCCATGGTTCAGCCACATCATAACAAAATCTTGAAGGACACTTTCTCATCCATAAACTATGAAAACCAGATAAGACGATAAGCCCCATATCAATCCTAACCAATAACCATACCTCTATTACTACTTGCCAACAGTTCTCTCCACCGTTCCTCCGCCACCGCCATGGCATCTCCGACCTTAATCACCCCGACCACCTCCACCCCTAAGCTCCTCCCACCCATTCGCTCCAAGCTCTCATCACCCTCCTCTTCCACCACCACCGCCGCCACTACTCATCGCCGAAACTTCTTGTCATTGGCTGCCGTAATATCCCTCTCCTCCCCGCTACTTGTTATTCCGGCTGCATTGGCGGCTTCCGATGAAGAATACACAAAAGAGACCCAGGAGGTTATCCAGAAAGTCAGGAACACGATCAACATGGACAAAACTGATCCCAACATCGCAACTGCGGTGGCTGAGCTAAGAGAAACCTCCAACTCCTGGGTGGCTAAGTACAGGAGGGAAAAGGCCCTGCTTGGAAGGTTATCCTTCCGGGACATGTACTCAGCCCTAAACGCCGTCTCCGGCCATTACGTCAGTTTTGGTCCCACCTCTCCGATTCCAGCAAAGAGGAAGACCAGAATACTTGAAGAGATAGATTCGGTGGAGAAGGCTTTGTCGAGGGGAAGATAGTGAGTATCAACTGTATTGTTACTTTTTTTTGTATAATATTTTAAGTTTTATATATATGTTATCATGAGGTTTGTGATACAATATTTTACACAATGAGCAAAACTGTCTTCATGTGAATTATCATTGAATAGATCCTTCATCAGTTGAAGTATATTGATAAATGTTATGTTTAACTTGATTGGCATCTTCCATTGTAGATGCAGTAGCATCACATGGCCTAATAATAATGTGGTGCTGTGGTAATGAAAAAGACAATAGAAAAATGAGTGAGAGAATATGATCAAAACCATAATAATGAAAGATATGTGAAACTCACAAGTCATGATTGATACAGAATAATTTGAACGTGATCCTTCTCTAAGTTGCTCATGTACAATGTTCTTGAACTCATTGATAAGTCATGTCATACATTCATTGAGTTGCTTTACAAAAGGTGGATACCTAACTAATTGGCAGATGTATGCATCCATAGCTCCAGGAACTAGCAGAAACATATTGCAAGTACTCTTTCTCTAACACAAACTGATGTTGTAAGAAAATCATTTAATTACAAATAAGGTTTGAAAAGGTTTTACACCTTGATGGAATTAACAAGGAGAGAAAAAGATCAGAGGTATATATACAATATCTATCTCATATGATCTTTGTTTAAGAAAATAATGTTTGGGAAACAACAAGAAGACTTAGGAGGCTATGTGTTTGTTCTCCGAATTCTGTGGGATTTGGCAAGAATTAGAAATATATTCAATTGCAGTCCGGTTTAGATGCAAATGAGTATGCACCTAATTAATTAATTCGGTAAGAATTCAGAAATACTGAGACCCGTGGATTTCGAAATTCCATCCTAAAACCCATGAAATTCAGTTTTCATGCATTTCAGTCATAGTTAAAATTACTCAAATACCCTTCTCAGTAAAGAATTTCATAATTACATTGTTATCTCTCAGGCCCACATAATAAGATACTGTCCATTTTGGGCAACATGTTAAGAGAGTGATCAAGACTTTATATGTTTGCTACCCACAAGGTAGACCTAAGTACATTCATATCAAAAAGACACATTTTTTGATGCATGACATATCTCATTTATGTAGAAATAAAACAATAAGCTCATTAGTACTCTTAATTCCTATTCAAGCATCAGGGATTGTTCGAATAGAAAATGAGAGACATAGATCATTCACGCATGTCAACCATTCCCTAGTTCTGAATTATTTTTACACATAAAGAATAAACTTCCATGATTCTTTTCCATGAATTAACTACATTTAATAATTAGTTGGATTCAAGTTCTCTTGCAAGAACTTGAGTAAGATAGTTGTAGATATACGCTCAATCAAGTACTAGACAAGTGGGATCAAGTTTTTGTTGGTGATTTTAGTGTTATCAATATATTTTGATGTGATTATTAATAATAATGGGCAAGGTTGTAGAACTCGTTACTTGGTACCTATTTGGCCGACTGTCGAGTAGCGAGTACTAGGGAGTATTCGGATTCGGTAATTCATAGAAAAATACTTTTAGAGAAATTATGTATATCAAAATCATAAGTTGATTGAAATATATAACAAAATTAGATATATACGAATACACAAAAACTGAAAAATCATATAATAGTCTCACTTCGTGAATACTTACTACAAATTTTAGATATATATGTAGTAATAATCATATGTGTGTGTGTGTTAGATAATAAATCGTTGAGTTGGCCAAGTTTTATAAAACTACTTGCTTCAGTAAGGGCCGATCGGGGAGTACTCGGATTTTGTAACTCGCATCGGCAAGGGCCGAGTAAGGAGTACTCGGCCGAGTAATCGGCCAACTCGGTGAGTTTTACAATACTGGTGATGAGATAGGTCGAGCTCCATTTACTAACCGAGTTTGGAGGTGCAGGGTGCACACTCGGTGTGATAAATGCGAACTCGTGAATATGGGGGTCCGAGGGCAGCACCCCTGGGTGCAGGGTTCCAAGGGGGAGTGCCCCTAGCAGGTCCAAAGGGCAGAGCCCCTGGTGGTGGTTATTCTTCAGACCCAATACGGGGTCCAAGGGGCAGCGCCCCAAAAATTATCCAAGTTAATTGATATATTCTTTAGACCCAAATTCTAACATTTAAAATATGTGATTTTCTGTGAAAGAATATCAATGGTAGAATCTGTTAAAGACACGACTTCCAAAATCAGGAAGTTGGACAAGTTTGAAGGAACTTATTTTCACCGCTTGCAGAATAAGTTGCATTTCCTTCTTGCTACCCTGAAAGTTGTTCGCTTTTAAGCATTCTTGCACCAGAACCAATGGAGGATGCAGCTCTTGAACATACTAGAAGAAGATTCAAATGGGAAAATGATGGTTATATCTGCCGTAGGCACATTCTAAATAGTATGTCTGACTCTCTCTTTGAATTCAAATACATGGCAGAGGATGCCTCAAGCAAGAAATTCCGTGTCAGTAATTTTAACAGTTACAAGATAGTGGATTCAAGGTCAGTCATGGAATAGTAAAATGAACTCATGAGGACTTTCGGACAATTTGAACAACACAAAATCCAAATGGATGAATCCATTTCTGTCTAAAGTGTTATTAACAAATTGTCCCCATTATAGAAAGACTTCAAACACACACTAAAACACCAAAATGAAAGGTTGTCTCTGGTACAACTTGGCAGTCACTTGAGAATTAAAGAGGGTCTTCGGGCTCAAGAAAGTGGCAAGGAAAAAGAAAATGAAGTTTTTGGATCTTCAGTGAACATGGTGGAAGATGACAAAGTCAGAAAAATAACAAAGGGAAAAGGAAGAATAAAGATGACCATCACAAAGGCTCAAACAAGAAAGCAAAACCTGTAAGTTAGAATTGCAACAAACCTAGTCCCATGAAATGAGATTGTCATTTGAAAAAGAACAAAAATTGTGCAAGCACTTCTGGACAAGGATCTAATGATCAAGGTCCAAAACCACAAGCTAAGAATTTTATTTCTATAACTACTACTACTGTTATATATATATATATATATATATATATATATATATATATATATGTATGTATATATGTATGTGTGTGTGTGTGCGTGTGTGTGTATGTGTGCGTGTGTGTTCAAGATGATGATCATGCATGGTCGAGAGACTCGAGGATGACGAGTCATGTGTGTAAAGATCGCTCTTGATTCAAGGGTTATGAAGTAGTTGATGATGGGTCGGTGTTGTACATAGGAAACCATAATAAAGAACCTGTTGTGGGTTGTGGTTGTGTTTCTTTATATTTTAGTTTTGGAAAAAGTCTTCTTCCTAAGAATGTTATTCATGTTCCTAAGATTAGGAAGAACTTAGTTTATGGTGGTGTAATTAATTGATGTGGATATAAACAAGTTTATGAATCTGATAAATACGTATTATCTAAGTTTGGTACATTTGTTGGATTTGGGTATTATTGTAATGGCATGTTTAGGTTGAATGTAAATAATAATAAAGTTGCAAATTCTATATACATGGCTTGTTCTAGTATTGATGATTCTTCTTTATGACATGGTTATTTAGGACATGTACATTATAAAAGAATGCTTGAAATGTCTAAAAATGGATTAATGCTATCACAGTGATGTCAAAATCAGTTATGTCTAAGTGCTTAATGCCTTAATCCTTTTCATCAAAATTCTAGATCTAGTTCTCAAAAGTTGTCCTTAACCATAAAGTTTCGAACTTTAAGGTCTTGCATGGCTATTAAGTGCCCAATACCAAAAACCCTAACTTCTTAGCTCATTAAATAAACCTAATTCATAAATGGAAGGGAACTGACGACTAAGATCACATTTTTTATGCTTTTAAACACTCCAAAACATTCGAAAGGAAAACTTATATGAATTCGAGTAACCTATACTTATAATACTAAACTTATGGGACCAAAAGAACACAAATCCATGCCTATCAAGATCTAATCAAGGCTTTATCAAGTTCAAGGCATTTTACTTTCAAATGGTGACAAATGATGATGTGATTCTGGATCAAAAGTGCTCCACTCTTCTAAGATGATCTTCTCTTGAGAACTAGTTATTTATGGAGAGGTTACCGGGATTGGGTCAGCCTTTTGTTCAGCTCCCAGGGCTAAAAAGTATATTCAACATGGATGTATGGGTTATCTTGTATATATGGTTGATACTCGAGTTGGGAAGCAAGTTTTGGTTTACGATGTGCCTATCGTTAGAGAGTTTAAAGATGTGTTTCTGAAGGAGTTACCCGGTGTGCTTCCTGAAATACATGTTGAGTTTATGATTGATTTGGTTCCGGGTGCAGCTCTAATTGCCAAGGTGTTATACCTTTTGGTACCACCTGAGATGAATGAGTTGTCCTCTCAACTTAAGGAGCTGTTGGGCAAGTAGTTTATTAAATCAAACAATTCGCCGTGGGGAGCACCGATTTTTTTGGTCAAGAAAAAGGATGGTTCATACCGAATGTGCATTGATTATTGGGAGCTGAACAAGTTAACAGTGAAGAACCGTTACCCACTTTTGCAGATTGATGACCTATTTGATCAGTGGAAGGGTGCATCTTGGTTCTACAAGATCGATTTGAGGTCAAGGTGTCATCAATGAGGGTTAGAGAGGAGGATGTGGGGAATACCACGTTTGGGACTTGTTATGGTCATTACAAGTTCATGGTGATGCCATTTAGGCTCACAAATACGCCTGTGGTATTTATGAATTTGATGAATCAGGTATGTAGGCAGATGCTTGATCGATCATTCATTGTTTTCATTGTTGATATCTTGGCATATTACAAGACAAGGGGCAATACGAAGAGCACCTTAGAGACCTTCTGGGAGTTATGAGATGAGAACGGTTGTATGCCAAGTTCTTGAAGTGTGAGTTTTGGTTACGGGAGGTCCAATTCTTGGGACACCTTATTAATCTGAATAGGATCCTGGTCGATCCGACCAAGATTGAGGTTGTGATGCAATGGGAGGTTTCGAAGTCTCCCTCGGAGATCAGGAGTTTCTTGGGATTGGCAGGGTA